CACACACACACACACACACCTGCTCCTTCTTTCTGTTACCACTGCTCCCTCACATCCGCCGCCCACTCCATATTTCCATGACAAATAAAATGCCACTCGACAGCACAACGCACAATTCAGAGAGATCCTTTTAATTTACCAACACCCACAGCTGACCTACTTTTTCCCCCGTTTCTCTGTGAGTGAAGAGCTGATTATAAATTAGAACATTAATCCTAAACCTGACCCCAAAGCAAACAATGTTCCTAATGAGGTGCAGGAAGCGGCACGGCACAGCACTAAGCCCTTTTCTCTCTATTGTAGTCCTGCAGGGACATTTACATCTGATGACACACGACAAGAAAAGGCTGATGCCGTGCTTATCAAGAGTAGAAGTAATACTGCAGTAATAGTTGTAGGCAGCAGTCGTTCCGGGAGTTTCCAATGTGACACTGCCTCTAAATGTATTTCAAGAATTTGGAATTCTCTCTGTGATTGGTTGTCACACACCTTTCAGGAGACAAGAGTGGATGACACACATTGCACTCAGTCCAATAATATGCTCTTTACAAATAGCATAGTATGCGTCATTATGAAAATATTCAGCTGTAGGCTACATAAAACTAAAAGAATGACACTTCAACTTAACCTACTGTGATCAACAATGTGGCAATGCCATGTCAAGTTCATTTATATGACAAGCATGTACTCATTGTGCTTATACTGTATATTGTAACCCTGTAACTATATAACAGTGTAGTGTGGTTGCCAGTTTGATCCCCACAATCCTTGAGCAAGACAATTAACCCCAAGTTGCTCCTGTGTGTGTGTGCGTGCGTGTGTGTGATGTAAATTGCATTGTGCTACATAAATGCTGCCACTTGTGAATACCTGACTGTACTCGGGTGGCAGTGTTTGCTTACAGTTGCATGTTGATGAAACAGTACTTCACCTGGAGCTCCAGGGAACCAGGGCTCAGTTTTGTAGGTATAACAATTCTTCAGTTATCAGCTATTAGGAATGAATATAATATTATTCAACGATAACTTAAATCAATATCATATTAATAATTGAAATAAATTCAGGTCACAACCCTTCAAAGGAAGGTAAAAGATTAACAATTAATCAATTCATAATTACATTATCAATTTGGAAGTCTTAATAATCATCATAATAATAACTATAACCAAAATCACCACATAAGTAACTAGCAAAGGTGGGAGGCTTTGGAGTTCTCCTCAACATTAATATTAATGCTGCCCTTTAGTCAAATGCTAATTAGATACTATGAATTAATAATTAATCATTATTTCTGATAGTTATCAGTTATTTTACATCTACATTTAATGTGAATGTATGGATGACCCCACACAATCATAGAGAATCAATCAGTCATCTAGATTTGTTTGTTGAGATTCAGGAATTATTTGCTGGAAAACGTCCGAAAATGGGAAAAAGTGAAAAAATCCCTGGATCCACACCAAATTTTAAATTCAGGTTTTGTGGTAACCCATCCAGTGTTTGTGTAACGCTGCTAAATAACAGACAAACAGAGAAATGCAGATGAAACAAACACTCCTTAGTGGAGGGGACAACGCTGCAGAGGTCAGTCCTGTAAATCTAATATCATCAAGCTGACGTTGGCCTGTGAGGCATGATGTCATGACAACATTAACTCTGTCATCAGTGATGAATTTATTTTCTGTGAAAACGCCACAAAGTAAAGAAAGAGGTGTGAAACAGCCATGCTTTATGAGTGACTCCCTCTGCTCTTCATCGTGGAGGGTCGGCAGTGATCAGTGACAGTGATTAACCTACTTACTACTCTGACCCTGTAAACTGACGGCCAATGATAAGTGGGAGTTTTCTGTCAGTTGACTGCTGAGTGTAGCAGAGCAGCGTGTCAGCTGTTTGAGATAATGTGCTTTAATCTAAGAATCATATGTAACATCACTGATAATCATTTCCAAAAGCATATCACATAATCTCAGTGCTCTAGGTCATCACAGTTTGACAATGCAGAACAGGTTCTTTATTCATTTTGCCCTTTATTCAGTCTCAACCCTGAGACAATGGAAGGGAAACAGAAAGAGCAAAGTTACAGTAAAATAGATTTTAATGTCACTG